ACCTTGGAACCACTTTGGTTGACCTCCACCTTCGTCCTGGCATATTGGCCGAAATGTCATCATCTGCGCCAAAGTGTGTATCACCAAGGCCGAGATGTGCATTATCTAGGCCAAGATGTTATCCTTGAACCCAAGTGATCTCGTTCCTGGACAGGTATGACCTAGACCGAGGTGTGGCACATCTAGGTCAAGGTGTGGCACAGCTAAGTTAAGTGTTGTCCTTCCTAGTCGAGATCATTGTCACCTTACTTGCCGAAGCCTTGCCCTTAGTCGAAGTCATTACTCGCCGAAGTGCCCATACCGTCTAGCTTGTTGAATACACTTTGCCTTACACATGTCTTGTCTTTCAATCACCTTTTTTAGGAGAACTAATCCGGTAGTGCCACGTGTCCCAGCAGAAGGCTAAATTAGCCGGCAGAGAGAGAAACCATATCATCTCCATATCTTTGCCTTTATAGAGAGAGAAGCTCTAGAAAGAGGGAAGGAGTTCTTGAGAGAGAAGTAGATCCCAAGCTTGATCCTTAGAGTTGGCCGTTAGATCTATGCTTCGAAGTTAGATTCTTGATCTATTCTTGTTGTTCTTATTGTTTATCTAGCTGCATTGCATGATCTAGCATGTTTCATGAGCCATGCATTGCTTTGAAGTACGGTTTTAGAAAGAGAAAGTGATATTCATGTGTTCTTAAGGAAAAACTATGTTTTGATCCGAAAGTTTATATCAAGATCCATGTTTTTGTGTTTGTTTTCACGGAGTCTTCAAGTATGGGTACCCAGGTCCATGTTTTCGAACTCATAACATGAAACCCCAGATTTTTATAATAACAAGTTATGATTTTAGCATTCATGTTCTTCATATTCTTCATATTCATGTTCTTCAAGGGAGGAAACCCAGATTTCCAGACTTCACTTCCCTAAGTGTAGTCACCGAGATCACTCTTGCCTAGACCTCACACTTAGGCCAAGCATCGTATCTCACCTTAGCCTACCTTGCATGATCACTTACACCTTTAGTTTACCTTGCATGCACCTTGGCAGTCAGCCGCACGCCGAAGCCTAGGTAACCACACCTCGGCCAAGAGGTGTGGGACCTCGGCAAGGACCTGGTTGGTACCCAGCATGTTTTGTCTCGTCTTAATCTAGTTTTGAAAGAAAGCTGAGATCGTTTGCATCCATGTAGAGCTTGTTTTGAGAATGCATTTCATATCTATCTTTGAGCATCTCTTCTTGTCTTCTTGAAGTGCATTCAATAGACTTTGCCATGTATTTGTAAGACTTGGACCCTTGCTTTAACCCCGCCGTCCAAAGAGCTAAGTGAGTGGTATTTTTAATAAAGCTATGTTATAAAGTTTTGATAAAGCTTTGCTTCGTTTTGAAAAGTATTTGTTAAGCATGAATGATTATCCCTATTTTGTGTATCAAGTATTAGCTTTGTTTTGGATGACATTCTTGGAAAGTCCTTCCATGCTAGGGGACTCTAAGCCCATGTAGCATCATGTTTGAGAGATCTCTGCCATCGACGGTCTATGAACGGATGGCCCCACCAATGGTCTAGTGTACGGGTGGATTTGTCTAATCGATTCCGGGTCGATTATTCCCTTGTTTTGTCCGGAATGTCATCACCCCAAGTATTATGTTGATGTTATTAAACATCCCAAGAAGATTTGAAAGATTTGATTGATGAACTTGATTCATCCCATGTTTTGTTACAAGCTATGATTATGTATTGTTTTGATAAAGATCTCGGATATCATTCATTTAAACTTTTATTACTAATATCATTCACTGAGTATCCAAGCTCACCATCTTCTTATATATATGTAGGTGACGAGCAAGAAGGCAATGACGCCTAAGATGTTATGTGCAAGATGTCTGATTCATGTTTTGTATCGTCTTGAAGATTATGCTTCTTAGTTTGTAATTCATGTCTTTGTATACTTCGGCTTGAGAAGCCTTTTGATCAAGATGTAATATGTACCTTAATTTGTATTCAAGTTGTAATATTATGATTAAGATGCATGACATTTCATTTGATCTATGCACAGTTCTTGTGGACTACTTAGATTTAAATGTATCACTTCCGCACATGTAGGCCCCTTATGTATACTCTAATTGTGTGTGAATTTTTATAAGTTGGCCTTTGGTAATCTCAGATTAATTACTGGCCATCATGGCACCATTCTACTAGGGGCAGAATGGGGTCGTTACATGTTGGGTTCTTTGTTATGGTGATTTGGAGAGAGAATATTAGATTTGAAGTGGGTTTTGATGTGGGTGGGTATGCCAAGTTTGGTTTGAGTTTTTTAAATTAAGTTTTTTGAAAATTGAATATTTTGACTTTCGTATTTTTTTGTTTTTAGTGAATATTTTTAAGATTTTAAACATTTTTTTTACTTTTTTAGATGTACCTTACTTAGATGTATCTAAAAAGTAAAAAATTTGTGAAAAAATATTTTTAAAAATTAATAAATACATAAAAATACAAAAAAAAATGTACTAAATTCTTGTATTTTTTTATATTTTTGGTATTTAGTGAATTTTTAAAAGATTTTTTTTATAATTTTTTTTACTTTTTAAGTGTATTTATGTTAGGTGTGTCTAAAAAGTAAAAAGATTGCCTAAAATGTTAAAAAAATTCAGTAAAAACAAAAAAAAAAAAAAAATAAGAAAGTAAAATAAACTGCCAAACCGATTCGCATCCATCCGTTAATCTACCAATCCGCTCAATCCACATCTGTCGGATTGGCGGACGGATGCAGATTGATTTTTTTCCAATCCGCCAATCTGGCGGACGGATGGTGAATTAGAGGTTCTGTAGCCGCAACCGACCCGCACCCACCCCTACCCAAGAAGGGTTTGTTGACTTACCTACCCAAAAAGGAGAAAAAAAAGGTTTATTGATAGATCAAAAAAATGTTGAATCAGACAAGTGGGCATTGATAGATGGTTATTGATCCATAGTTTTGGGCGCTCAGTTTTGATGGGGTTTGTGTTGGGGCTGAATCAAGAGTGAGAAAGTAGGGAACAAGTATATGAAATGACGATTTGTAGTTGGGTTTTGGAGGGCAAAGAGTTATGGAGGAGCTTGGTTTGAAGAAGTGGTGGGAAATGAAATATGATAATTTGTATTGGCTATTTTTGGTGATTAAAATTGAGTTTAATAGGTAGTTTAATTGAGTGAAGGTTGTTTTGTCAATTCACATGCTCAGTCGACCCTACGCAGTAAGGAAGAATTGGTCCATTATCCATCAAGGTATTAATTGCATACATATTCTTACTATTTTGAAAAAAGTTTTATAAATTTTTTTTTTTTTTTTTTATAATTATTTCCCAAAACCTTGTTTGAAATTGTATGCAAAATTGGTTTTCCTTATTGGAGAGATCAATCGCATTGGGAAAGTGATCAATCGCTATTGGCGATCAATCTGTGATTAATTGCTATGTCTTGAAAAACAAGTTTGTGATCGATAGGCGATCCCTCTTAGGTGATCGATCGCTCTTGAGGTGGAGTTGATCGCTCTTCTTTCTCTTTCTAAACATAATTCTATTTGTTTTGGAAATCTTTTTTCTTCCAACAAAAGCTCTTTCTAAATCCTGAATTTAGATATCTCAACTATTGTGCTTTCATAGAAATATTCTCTCTAGAGAGTTGAGTTTCAAAAATTCATAAAATACTTTCCATTCTTACATTATTCGTTCTACACTCTTGGGCAGTTGGATAATCGGAACCGTTTGTGAATGGAGATCGAAGTTGAAGCTTCGTGGAATCCTGTAGATCAAGAAAGGTGATCGGGTCATGCTGTGCTTGAAGGAATTACTACAAAATGTCGTGTTAGGTAAACCTGCGAGACAGTTGTAAATCCTCTCAGTTTTGTGCTTGTATTATTTTGTCTTAGTGGATTTTCTCTAAGTGCTGGGACCGTGACTTTTTACCCTTTTGGATCTTTCACGTAACATCGTGTGTTCTTGGAGAAATTATTCATTGCCCCAAGAGCAGGGGGTAAGCAGCGGATATACCGATCTGCCAAAACCAATCGAACTGACCCGATTCGCCGCATTTTGGATGGATGCGTGATGACGAGTGGGCGGTTGCGGATTCATTTTCTCTAATCCTCCAATTTGGCGGACGGATGGCGGATTTGAGATTCATTTAGCCGCAACCGAACCGCCAAACCGCGAGCACCCCTAATAATTTATAAGACTTTATGTTTTCAATTTGTTTAAATATTTTGTTTGTGTTTTCAATAGAAAAAAGAATTTAAATATTCTGTTGAAAAAAGTTTTCAACTTGAATATATTTTTTGAATTGAAAAAAATAAATGTGTTATTTATCTATATTTTTTGATTTTTAAATTTAACCTTACAAATAATAAATAGAAAATATGATATATGCTGGTTAGTTTTTGTTTTTAAAAATATATATAGATGTAACAATACAGAGACATACAATCTCTACTACTGTCATGTTCATGGTTTTGGTGGTTTGAATTATTATTATATTTTAAGAATCACAGATTGTAATACTTTATGCGGATAAATCATACTGTGATTGTAATATGTGAATGAGCCATACAGTGATTGTGATATTCTAAAGTTTCAAACTTTCTTTTTTTGGATGGGACATACAGTGATTATAATAGTTTTTTAAGTCATTGACTGTAATACTTTCTTTCTTTCTTTTTTTTTTTTTTTTTTGAGGAAGTGCACAAGTTGAATTATGTTAAAAATTTATAAAATCTTAAACTGCCAAACCGATTTGCATCCATCTGCCAAACTGCCAATCCGCTCAATCCACATCTGCCGAATTGGCGGACGGATGCAGATTGATTTTTTTCCAATCCGCCAATCTGGCGGACGGATGGTGAATTAGAGGTTCTGTAGCCGCAACCGACCCGCACCCACCCCTACCCAAGAGTATTGCTTCACCATAAATTTTAAAGCATTCTAGGGTTACAGACACACATTTATTTGTATATGTATATATATCGAGAGTCTAGGGTTGGGAAATAGTACCAGAGGGCATCGAATTGGTGTCATCATCTTCGACCTTGGACGCGGACTAGAATGCATGGCTTGAAGAAGTTTCCACCGAGTCGATTGGAAAATGTACAGGTTCTTTGCAACAAGGGGCTGTTTGAATTCGACTGAATTGGTGAAGAATTCGAGTGTGAGAAGGATTCGACGATGATAAGAAGAGTGATGGGAGAGAAGTGAGTTCACATGGGTGAACAAGGAGTGAGAACCAATGAGTCGGCGAGATTGGGAGATTGTGAAACTCCAAAATGTTGCGAAGCTTGAGGGACTGGGACTCCATCTCTCTGCAACTTCGTAGTACAGGCAGTTGGCACCAATATATAGGATTAAAAGGCAGCAATACATATAAATTAGGTTTAATTACAAATTGATATATGAATCGGCCCTGTACATCATCAACTTGAACTAAGCATCTACCAGATGCAATCTCAAGTAGCCTAAGAATTTCTTATTTCATTCAAATGGGCAAAAAATTAAATTGAAGTAGATGAGTAGCTATCTGTAATGACATATTAGTGTAGAAAACACAGAACCATACATAAATCACCAATTGATCAAACTCTATTACACACAGAAAATTAATAATTTCAATTTCAATAAATATATATGCATAAATTTCTGCAAAATACAAAAAAATTATATAAAGAGAGGGGGGGAAATGCCGATATGAGATGGAGTGATATCCGTCATAAGCTTGAATCTCAAATGAATGCTAGAACTGAAATTACAGAAAAATCAAGTGCATGAAAAAAGAAAACAATCCAGGTTTATATTCTTTAATATTTTTTCCCCAGTTTTCTCAGCAACCAAACAAAGAAAAGGCAATGAAACAGAGCATATATAACTCATCAGTGAAAAACAATTACTGAAACAGAGCACATACAACTCATCAATCACTGAAACAGACACACAGACACACACAGACACACAGAGACGGGAAGGAGGAGCTTCAGAGAGAGAGAGGGTGGAGCTCACCTTAGTAGACGATGGTGCAGATGATGGTGCAGACGATGGTGCAGATGGTGGAGACCGATCTGAATCTCTGACGCTCTGCGATGAAATCACTGAGATGAAATCGCTTTGAATCTCTAAATCTCTGAGATGAATCTCTGAATCGCTCTGATAAGGGTTTAGAGAGGGTTGAGAGAGAGAGAGAGAGAGACAGTGGAGCTCACCTTCGTTGGTGCTCGCTACCTCGCTCTGAGAATGAATAAGCGGTGGAGCTTCGAAATCGCTCTGAGATTTAGAGAGAGCGAGAGAGCGCGCTTGAGATCTGGGTCTTAGGTGAGTCTCAGATTCAAAATTAGGGTTTAAAAAGGGGGCGCGTGAATCACAATGCATTTGGAGGCGTTTTTCAACGCCTCCTATTACAAAACGGTATCGTTTTATTATGCAAATATGCGACGTTTTATAAAACGTCGTTAAATGTTAAAAAAAAAGTGACGTTTAAAAAAACGTCGCTAAACAAACGTCGCCTAAACTCTTTTTTCCTGTAGTCACTACAAGAAATGTCGCTTTTGGCTACCAAAATATTAGTCGCCAAAAGTCCAAAATTTGGTCGCCGAAACCATTTAGCGACCAAAATTTTTTGTCGCTAAGCTCGTCGCCTTTACCCTGTCGGCGATAGTATTGGCGACTAAAATTTGTTTGGTCGCCGAAAGTGCACACATTTGGCTACTAATCTTAGTTTAGTCGGCAAAAGGTATGTTTCCGCCACTAAAATATTAGTCGCCGAATGTGACTTAAATTCAACCCCCCATCAGATGGACTCCTACATCGTCAGCGAACAGTAGCCATTCTCCTGGATTCAGATGTCTTCAAGATCTCAAAACCATTTGACATGGACAAAGCTACACTTTTACCCTTGAGAGGCTCGCTGGGCCGAAAACCCGGAAGGGCGACCCAAGCAAAAGTTAGAGCAAAGAAAAGAACAAAAAAAAAAGAAAAGAAAAATGCCAAAAAAAATGAAGAAAAAGAAATAAAAAATCTTGAAAAGATTGAAGAAAAGAAAATGAAAAGAAATGAAAAGAAAGAAGAATAAAGCTCGCAAGGTTAAAACCCGGAAGGGTGGCCTTGGCAAAAGTTAGAGCGCAAAAGGAGAGGTTAATACCCGAGTGTGCCTTAACCCCGAACTACGTAAGGCTTGATTCCCATGTTTGGGATATGTAGGCAACTTCATTCTAAAGTCCAGCCACAAACACTTCCAAACTGATTGTGTCCATGTAATGATTTTGATCATCTTTTCCTTCTCTGAATCCAAGAGTTCGGTTGTAACCGTCACTCTAAGGACTGACTACGATGCGATGCGGTGCCATTCAAACAAGGGGCAACTTTCCGTTGCCATTCAATGCGCTGCGGTGCCGTTCAAACAAGGGACAACTTTCCGTTGCCATGCATCTCTCTTCAAACCAGGAGCAATTTTCCATTACTATGGATCTGAGGTTGTACATCTCAAGAGTGGGTTCCGTGCTCGTCGAGCAGTGGCCGTTTGCAAAAACAGTTTTGAGGATTTTTACTAAGGTTGACTAATTCTCTCACAAGTTGTTCCATCTTTTCCAAAACTGGACCATTTCTTGGACCCAAAAAGGAAAATTTTCAGTGCTCATAGCCTGACTTGCATGATTTTAAATCAAAAAATTGAACAAGCATGTTAATCTAACTCTCAAGTTGGTCAAAATTGTTTTAGCAGAACGTCAAAAACAAAAAAATGGTCAAAATAATGAACTAGGGGCACAGTTGAGTCAGGCTTCCTGTCTTTCCCCCGTTGTCAATGCATTTTCCAGAAAGGGCACCATACTTGCCAAGAAGGGCACTCTACCTGCCAGAAAAGGGCGCAATTGAAGCTAACAATAACGGGCTGAACAGCTCTCTCATCCTCCAAGCAGCGAAGTATCATATCAAGTGCGAAGCACGAATTAGAATGGATCGAGATATTTCACTCCCTCATCCGGACAGATCTGACATGTCCAAACTCCCCAGCAGAGCATCGTCAATCGATGTCAATTACAGATCTGCTGCGCGTCTGGTCGCATTGTAACTCCTCTGTGGGAAAGTTCACTGTTGTGAACAGAAGAAGAGAATCTAGCGGAATGCTAGGGGCAAGAGCCCACAACTTTTTATTTATCCATCGACCACCCAGGGGAGGGATAAAAAAATGAGAGATTGAAGAATAGAGAGATGTGCGCTGAGAGAAAAAGTGAGGAAAAGGGCTTTTTTTCAGAAAAATAGAGCTTGAGGGCTGAGTGATGTGAGAATCACAAATGAGAAAGGTTGGGAAACAATACCCAAAGAAACAGGCTCCCTGTGCACGTCTGAGTGTCGTGTCTTTTTGTTTTATCTCGATTCTTGTTTTGAGTCGTTTCGAGTGTTACTCGATGTGTTTAGGTTGTTTACCTTTTGTTTTCCGTTGTTGAGTCGTACTGCGCTGTGTTCAATCGTAGGCTCAATAACTAGTTGAGAACTTATTCTCACTCTCAATTTCAAAAAATCTTTTGGTGCTCAGAGTGCCCTGCCGTTCTCCACATTTGTGCAAAACAAGATTTTGTTCTTTCAAAAACCGCAGGGTTCAACCCAGGCCATGTTAGAATAGTAAAACCAGGACCTATCTGAAGCTATATAAGTTCTAGACTGCAAAGCAAAAGAAAAGAGGGAAAATTTGGAGCATCTAAGATTGTTTCCACTTCAGTAAATTCCGAGATTGTATTCCGGATGTACCTTTTCAGGTCTTGCCAATGCTCCGAAGTATGAGTGTGCCTCTACCTCAAGCTCAAGATCAAGTCTACTTCAACCCAGAATGGTGATCAGAAGTGCCCTCCTTGAGTACCAGTCTCTGCCAGAGGCATCTTGGCTATGTTTGCAATGAGTTCCTAGGAAACCAACTGCGACGGTGGAAACTAGGGTTCGAATGGCTGATGCCTAGAACGAAAGGTTCAGGATTTCCGGGACTAAAGTCTGGTTTAAATACCCAAAGGCGTGTCCTCGGATTGAAATCTGTATGGAAGCCCCATAGGTTGAGATAGCGTGTATGCACCTCAATTCTGGATACTGAACCAACCTAGTCTGTCACCCCCTTGGAAAATAGGGAAAGTTGTGACTATGATCAGGAAGAAAGGCAGCATCCAAAGTGTTCTACATGAAGAACCCTTGTCAGTATTTCAGAGCCTTTGTACTGTAAGTTGAAGGTAAGTGCTCGAAGAGCACAGGGGGAGATCCCCGTCAGAGTAAAGCGGTTCATCGCCACTTACCCCGTGAGGTGCTTTCTAAAGCACTGTTGTGTTTGTTTATTACATTCATCTAGCATCATGCATTGTATTGCATTGTACCTATCAAGTTTCTTTCTCATTCATGTACGATATTGTATGTACTATTGTCGTACGCCCAGATCACCTGGGTTGTAGGCACGAAATCTGCTGGTTTCAAACAGATGGCACAAGTTGTGCAAGAAGGACAGATGTTGATAGCTGACCCAGTATCGACCAACACCACGGGCACCCACTTTTCTCCGCACTCAACTAATATGTACAGAGGTTTCTTATGTGCTGAGCCTTCTAGTGGTAGTTCCTTGTTCGAGAAGGTTAAAGTTGATGCAATGCTTCCTGGCAAGACCAGTCCCACAAGCTGTTTAGGAGTCGTATCAATGGACAATTTGGCCCTGTCCATTACTGATAGTATAGCCTGTCAATGCACTCGAAAAGCCATAAGCAGACCTAGATTAAAATATCAGCTTGAATTTTCTTTAGCTGTTTCAGTACTGCCTCTTATTTTAACTGTTTTTCCTTCTGCTTTTCAACCTTTTTATCTTTCCCGGAGGCTTCAGCTTGGTCCAATTGCGGCGGCTTGAACTACCGTCCACTTCTTGTCATGTGGCCAATCTCCTTAGTGTACCGGGTATTGTCTTCAGGTCTTCACCCCAATCTTCATTGGTGTGAGCCAAAAGTAGATTATCGTTCTCCCACTATGCACCTCCGGCAGCCGACAAACAGTTGTCCGATTCCGTTCTAATCATTCCCTCATCACAAATATCCCTCGTAGAGATGAGCTGTTTCATCTTTCTTTTTGTGTTGATCCCTTTCTTGCCTAAACCACTTCAACATAGCTTCCTGCTCTGTATCCGCGGCACTCACGGTTCCCAGTTCCTGAGATAAATTCTTGATGCCGATGTTCTCCGATAGTTTTCCCTTTTCCTCGGCCATTCCGGCCACTGCAGGTATTCTTGCTTCATTTTCTTCAGATTTTGGTTCAGTTGCTTCCTCCCTGTCAGACTCGTCACTAAGCCACCTGGAGTTGTCTATCGACCCATTCAAATTAAACCAGCCAATCTGCACATCCCCTTAGTCTTGTTCGTCATAGAACTACAGATTGTCTAAGTCCTCCTCCAGCTCCACCAAATCATCCAAACCTTGGCTCGGGCCATCCTCCCGAACCACATTGACCTTCACTACTGTTGGCAATACAACTTTGGGCTTAGCTTGATCGGTCGGGACAATGTAACAGCACGGGTCATACACCCCCTTAGATAAATCCACAGAGCTTTTAGGCAGTGGACTTGTACTCTTCTTTAAGGCCAACCTCCCTTCTTCTACCTCGGTCACCACCACGGGTTCAGGTTGAAGTGTGGATATGTCCATCATGCACAAGTCTGTGCTTTTAGGGATGAACACGGTCAGTTTGGGTAGGTGAGAATGGGTAATATATAAGCTGGGGTCATAGGGGATGGCCAGTGTAAGTATTAGGTTTTAGGTTCTAGGGTGGGGGAACTTGATTGTGAACTGGGAGAGGGTTGGTGGTTACATTTGGCTATTGGGGTGGTGCTATCACCTTGTTATCGATGAGATCTTGAATCTCATGACGTAGCCTGAAGCATTGGTCAGTGTCATAATCATGCTACTGGTGAAACACATAGTACTTGGTTGGGTTGTGTTTCGGTGAGAGAGGATCGAGCAATGGATGAGTCTCGAATGGCTTAAGGTGCCCTTTTTTAATCAACACCCTCAGGGCTTGGGATAAAGGCATATAGAGTGCGGTAAAGGTCCTCTGGGATTGGGCCGGGTTGTTTGAAGCTTGTGGAGTTGTATTGGCAAAGGGATTGGCAGTTTTGGTTGTGGTGGTGACAACACTCACATCAAATGACCGCGTAGCTATGCTACTACTAGTGGTTGCATTAGAATTAAGCACAAAAGACCTCTTGGCCTGCTCTTTTTCATCAGTTATCAACCCTTGTTTCATGGCATCTTCAATCTTACTGTCCTCAAACAGCAAGAGGTCCTCAATCAAACATGAAGAGGACCTCAAAATATGATGATTTACAGTTTGGGTCGGAGCCCAAAAATGCAAGCAACTATGGCTTAGATATGAAGCAAGAAAAGACTAGAAAAGGGAAGAGGAGGACTCACCCTTGAAGACCAGCAAACCAGCACCTCTTGGACCAAGTTTAGGTGCTCCTAAGCTCTGGAGAACAGTCTCAAGTTTCTGCAATGGAGTAAGGATGCCTT